TAATTGTGTATAGGTTAATACTTTCGTATTGTAGTTCTAGCTTAGTTTGTACTGTGCTGTGTGGCAATGGAGAAGATTGACTAGGAAATTATTGTTTTGTCTGTTTGATACTTAAAATTGCCATGTAGCGCAGTATTGAGAGACTGACCCATCTCTTTTGAGAAGGGTGTTGTGCCATTTGAGTACCAGCTGCTCAGTGACTAAAAGCAAGTTTCAAAAAGTTCACTTTCTAAGGACACCAGTGATGTGTGCATGTAAATACCCGAAGCTGAGTCTTGGAAAGGGAAAGGGCTCGTGCATTGAGTTCTTGTTTCTAAGTCTCTCAGTAAGGAACAGCAAAATTAAGTAGTTGTACATGTATAGGAATATAATGTGTGCATACATCTTTATGTCTTCATTAAAACAGAGTAGGGATATCAAATTTATTCTGGAGTTTTTGGACTGCCTCGCTGCCAGTGTTTGTTTAACCAGGCCTTACATATTAAATTATTCATATTTTAATCTAAATTTATGTGTCTTTGTGTTTCCAGGACAATTCTGTGATTAAAATCAATGAATAAACTACACGTAGAAAGCAAGAAAACTAGAAATAATGCAACTTGTCCCAAATCCTTCCTTCCTTCCTTTCCTCTCATGCCTTCCTTTTTCACGCCTTGATTTTTCTAATTTTCCTAAGTCTCAAAAACTTACGATGAAGTGTTGAATTGTTTCAAGCTACAATACATGACCCACTGTCACTGAAAAGGGAAGATCCTTTTCCTGGTGTTATTGTTCTTCGCTTTTGCCTTGGACTGACTTGGTGATAAGCAGTTTCAGTTTATTAAACTGGCAACAAACTAAGGAGGCAAAACTAGTGAATTGTTTTCTGTGGGGTGAGTTGAATCAGTCCAGTGTGAGGGTCAGATAAATGCCAGATGACACCCTCAGAAGAATTCTGTTGATTTTTTGGTTTTTTTTAATCTTCTGAACATCACAGTGTTTTATCTGGTGAACATCATTCAATGCTGTAAAAAGTTAAGCAGTCTGTCTTTCCAATCTTGATTAGAATCCTGAAAGCTATATTTAATTGTGTCTAATTTTTTAATGATTGCCGGAATGTGTTCTTGCAGGTGCCATTTTAGACAAACCATAGTGTTATTAAAACTTTAAAAAAAAAAAAAAGGCAAAAAAAAAGGCTTTTCCAGTTCCATGAACCAAGAAAAATTGGGATACATGTTTCATGATGCTCTGTATACAGAGGTACAGTCATGACCTAACTGAAAGCTTGAGTCTGAGTTTAGACTATAAGGAGCTTATTTTCATTGCATTGCATCTTCAGTTAGTTTTACACAATTTTATGTGAAAATGGTGAAATCCTTAATGCCCATGCAAGGTTATTTTTAATGTTCCAGTCTTTAGGGAAGCAAGTTTTATTTTTAAATGTGTTCTGGAGTCATCTCCCAGCTTTAGTTAGGGGCTAGGGATATCGTTGTTTCTTCTTTGTCTCTTTCCATTAGCTGAAAACATGAAGGCAATGGGAATTTGGTGAAAAGGCAAGGAGCAAAGTGTTTGTAGGGCTGCTGAAGGTTTGCCTAACCTATAAGATACTGGAGGCTGTAAGAAGTAAATTATTTAACAGCTTTATAGGTATTTATTTATATGAGAAATATTGTTTTGCAATAATATTATTTGTGTGTGTTTAAAAACAAAAAATACAATTTCTGATGAAACTGTATTTTCAGTAACGCTGTCCAGAATCTTACCCAAATCTTTAGTCATGGCTCATTAACCTGTTTTTCTGGAGGTTTCACCAGGATCATTTTTACCCCGACAGTGTTAAATTTTTTGTTAGTGAGATGGAAGAAAATCTAAAATCACTGTGACTTTACATCTGTATAAGATTGATGTGGTCAAATTACTAATAAAGAAGGATCTAGACAGCTTGTGAAGCTTGGAGTCACTCAGTATAATTATTTTATGTGTATATTAAAAGATAAAAAACCCTTGAAATTAAATATAATACTGAATAAAATGTTTTTTTTTTTTAATGAAAATGAGCTAATTGTTTTTTGAAAAGTAAATAAGCCAGGCAGGAATCCTTGCCTTTCCCTCTTCTCACTCTAGCCCTAATATTGCAAGACTGTCTGTAAAAGTCACTGGACTGTTTTAATGGCTTTCTGTAAAAAAACCCCTGTCCTTGGCTCAGTTTGACCTTTTTTTAGTGAGACATCCTAGAAGAAATAATGCAATTGTAACCACTATAGCTATACAGTACGTTGTACTGTTTTTATTTGAAGACAGTTTCACCGAGGGTTTGGAATGACATGGTAGACTGGGCTCTCTTAAGCAAGTTCTACCGAGAAAGCATAAGCTGTTACATTTGAAAAATGGAAGTCACTCTTCTGGAATTAAAATGAAAACTTTCGTCTATACTAGGTGAAAGGCAAGCTTGCAGGCTGATGCAGTGACTTAGATGTATACTTATTTAAACAAGAAATACATCATCGGAAGGAGCAGCAGGGTTTTGGTAGCACTGTGTGAAGTTTGTATACAGTTCCAGCATGTCCTTTTGAAAAGCAGGAATCTTCCAAAGACTAACAAAAATAAGATTGTTAGTGACAGTATTTTATGGGAAGTGTTTTCTCCTATCATTTACACGAACACATTTAATTGTTTTGATACTTTGTTAAAGAAAAATGGTTTTGTTGCAGGCTGTTTTTCCCTGGAGTATTAGATTTTCACATGCAGCAATATAATGCTACTGTGTATTTCCTCTGTCTTCAAAGTTAGAATCTTCTGCTTTGCTGGCATTATTATTATCATTTTTAAAACTGCTTTTCCTGAGAGACTCCTGCCAATAACATCAAGGTGTAGACAGGGTAACCACAAGCCTTTTAAACATTGCTGCCTTAGCCATTTCATATGCATCTATCAAATCACTTTCACAGGGGGGATTTGCTGAGCTACTCCTCCAAGTTTGAATCCTATGACTTTCCCCAACATTGGACACTTTTAAGATTCAGCTGGACAGGGTGCAGGGCCATCTTGTCTAGACGCGGGTTTTGGTAGCACTGTGTGAAGTTTGTATACAGTTCCAGCATGTCCTTTTGAAAAGCAGGAATCTTCCAAAGACTAACAAAAATAAGATTGTTAGTGACAGTATTTTATGGGAAGTGTTTTCTCCTATCATTTACACGAACACATTTAATTGTTTTGATACTTTGTTAAAGAAAAATGGTTTTGTTGCAGGCTGTTTTTCCCTGGAGTATTAGATTTTCACATGCAGCAATATAATGCTACTGTGTATTTCCTCTGTCTTCAAAGTTAGAATCTTCTGCTTTGCTGGCATTATTATTATCATTTTTAAAACTGCTTTTCCTGAGAGACTCCTGCCAATAACATCAAGGTGTAGACAGGGTAACCACAAGCCTTTTAAACATTGCTGCCTTAGCCATTTCATATGCATCTATCACATCACTTTCACAGGGGGGATTTGCTGAGCAGCTGAATCTTAAAAGTGTCCTATGACTTTCCCCAACATTGGACACTTTTAAGATTCAGCTGGACAGGGTGCAGGGCCATCTTGTCTAGACGCTGCTTTTGCCAAGAAAGGTTGGACCAGATGATCCTTGAGGTCCATTCCAACCCGGTATTCTATGATTCTGTGACTTCCAAGAAAAGTGTTCTGTTTTGTTTCATTTTCTCAGTTTTTCAACTGAGAAGAAGGAAAGAAGTTTTGTTTAAATGCCCATTTAACTGCATAGAAGTGTTAGTCAACAAATTAGATATTCTGCCCCATTCAGAGAAGAAACAACTGCTTATGCACATCGCTTTCCGTGGAGGGGAAGAACACCTGAGTGCCTTTTTTGTCTTGCATTTGGAGTCTGGGTATCTGTTGCATGTGACAGCCTTGGCTTGGTTCCTGACTAGGCTCTAAAAGCTATCTTGATCGCAGCCTTTTATCACCTCTCCATAGGTATTGGAGGACATGTCCAGTTTATGTAGAGCAGTGTCACACAATGTGTTATACTCTGGTGACATCCGTGTCCATCTGTGTTTTGGGAAGGTATTCTGTGTTCTTAACATTTAATCCCTTTCAGTCAGGGACTACTTCCATTATACTTACCAAGAATATATTGTGCAAACATTTAAGACTGTTGTTGCATGTAGCTAAGTCACTAGGTGTCGTTGCTGGTTTATCAGCATGTATGATCTGTTTTATCAGAGCGGATTATTTATGATTTAAATTTTTGTTATTTATTACTTTTTTCAGGTTTTAAAGCCTGAGCTTAATCATGATTTAAAGGAGAAACAATTGACTTCAAATCTTGTTGTTAACTTTTTTTCTGTTGAATAAAACCCCAAAATGATTTATTGACTAGTAAAATCATTACAATATGCTAATTTTAAGTGTGGATTTTCTGCTGTATTTGGTGCCTTACTAAGTAGTCAAAAAGCATAATATATATATATGCATTATTTAAGTTTTTTATATTGGGAAGTGTAACATGGGCCATGATTTTTCAAACTAGAAATTCTGGCTTAAACAAATTGTGAAGTTAGAGTATTGCTGCTTAACTTACCTGTTTCAAGAACTGGAAAAGCACTAACATGTTTTTTGTTTAAAATCTGACAAAGTTGTTTAAGTCCTTACTAATTGCCATTGAGTCATTGTGCTTTGTTTTAATGCATACAGTAAATCTAGATATGAGCAGGGACTGTCACAAGTTTTATTTTGGAGAGGTTGACTTTTAAAAAGCATGTTAACGTTTAAAGTCATTGTATTTTAAAATCTGCACTACTGCTTCAGAAGGAAGGTTATTTAACACTATTGACCACTAGTGTTTTGCTGGATTCTGCTTAATTATTAGTGACCACTTGATGAATATGTAATTCTTTTTCCCTTGTCAACTAAAGTGATGATGTATTTATAGATTAAGTAATCTGTTAGCTCATGTTAATTAAAAAAAAGCCTTATTCTAAAATATTTCATCAGTTTTAAAACAAGCTCTTAATTTTAGATTAGTGAAGAACTGAAAAAGGAATTGGAAAATGAGCTGTCTGCATCAACCCCTGGCCTCACTATGGCTAAAGTAAGAGAACAAATGTTCTCTAAGGTAAGTAGAAATTGATAAGTTCCACAGATTTGTATTCATTCTCTTTCAGTTAAACTTGGAGTTACTAATTTTAAGTTTTTACATAATACTGTTGCTAACAGTTAATCAAAGTGTCTAAATTAACTGAAACTAATGAGAGTTCCTCTTCTTCATGTTAGTGTAAGGGTAGAGGGAGGGACTGGGAGAATGAAGGGAGCTATAAACTACTATTAATGTCTTCTGTCCTCTTCTGCCATCCCCTGTCTTTAGTCACAAATACAGTCTTAAGTTTTAATGTTTCCCAGAAAAACGACTTAACTTGCCTGGCTGACAGACTGTTCAGGCTGGAGACATTCTCAAACATCTGTTGCTGAAACTAGGTTTGGTCTGATTGTATTAGTCTGAAATTCTTTTGGCAAGAGAGCAAGGGGAGAAGAAAGAAATATCTAATGTAGCCCACTGTTCTTCTTTGGAGCAAAGTTGATTGGGTTCCAGATCTGTTTCCAAGACCTTATATGTGTAGCTTACATGAGTCAAATATTTCAAGATGCCTGAAACAGAAGGCCAACAGAAGTCCATTTTCAAAAGCAAATCAGTAAGTGATGCAAAGCTACATAATTGGGCTAATAATCACAGATGCAAACTTTAAAGTAGCTTATTTTGCCTAGTTGCATGACTTTCTGTAAGTAAACAATATTTTTCCACCAAAATAATGATCAGCTATTCCAAAGTCAACATTTAATTTCAAAATCTTTGCCTTTTGCCTGGATAGAGCTTTGTTAAAAGACAGAGAATGACTTAAAGCTTTACTGGTCCATCTTGAATTGTAGGGTTGTAAACATTGTTACTACATTACTTTGCTATTCCATGGTGTGGGTTTTTCTTCTTCCTCAGGTTGGACTTGCAGATGCTGTGGATCTATTTAGAGCCAGAAGAGTGTTTATTAAAGACGGCTTTGCATATGTGCCACTTAAGGAGATGACTGCAATTGTTTTGAATAACTTCAGAACAAAGTTATCTAAAGCACTGGCAGTAAGTCTGATAAAGTCTGATTTTTACAGCTTTTGTTGCATTGTTTAGTGACACTCTCGGACAGTAGTGTTTTGGATTTTTAAATTTATCTGCCTCTATCTGGAGAATACCAGAAACCCTATCAAAAAGTGCTGATGGCACTAAGTAAAAGTTCATTATGAGCTGAGAGTTCATTAATTTTAAATGGAATTTAGCATGTGATATGCATTGTAAAGAAATTTCTGCTAGAGGATTTTAAAATTGTTTCCCACATAGAAAGTAACATGGCTTTTCATTCAAAATGTTAGCCCCATACAGACAACTGTTTTTTCTCTTTGTATCAATCTTTTCTCCCGCAACATTTTGCAACAGTTTTTTGTTGAAGCAAGTAAAATAGTGATCTGTGGGTTTTTTCTTTTTTTCTTTTGTTAGTGATCACTGAAATGAGGGTAAGTCAGAACACGTCAGGCAAAAATGAAGTCTTCATTGTATGAATGTTTGAGGTATCAAATCTAGTTAGGACACCTATGGTAAATACTGATGAATGTTCTTCTGTTAGTAATTCAGTGACTAATTTAGGAATTGCTAGTTTTGCAATATTAGACTCTTCACAGGGTTTAAAAGTTGATGATCATGTATAATGCACAAAATTTTAGTCCTAGAAAATATGGCATTAAATAACATGAAGGCAGTTTGGATTGCTTTTCAAAAAGGTTTTCAAAGCCTTATATTGCTATATCACATTCATATCAAGGTTGACTATGGGTGTTTAGTAAACAAACAGTGTGAAGTAAAAATGCATTCCTTTAAGAAGCTGCCAGTGTACTAATTTTCTAATTTGTTAATTTTGAATATAACTGGAGCCTGTGGATTTATTTAGTGTGCAGTGAAAATCATGATACTCTTATGTGAACATTTCCATTAGAACTCTCTAATACAACTGCAACTAGAGACATCATTATTTCAGTTGATGCGTAATGTTCTTGCTGAAAGCTGATAACGCTTGTGTGGGATTTAAAAACTATGTATTCTATAGAAATGTGGCTAAGCATGCAGGTTATCTGCAACTACTTAAAATACTTTTGAGAAGCTTCATGGACTTCTGGAATTTGCCTGTTTTGTCAGTAGCTGAGGAGGAGTCTGAAAAACAGTAGGAACTCTAATGAGTAGGCTACTTCAGTTTGAGAAAAAATCCTTATGAACACACACTATCATATATAATTCATTTAACCCAGATTACTTTGTTAAAGCCAATAGCCGCTTTATAGTAAAGAAATACTTCTTTATGTTATCCTCTGTAATCATGGTTTAGAAATTTTAACCCTCTCATGGGCTTGGAAAACTCTTCTGTAGAACTGCTATGTTTTAAGTTATTGCAGTGTTTCAGGTTTGCATTACTTTTTAGTTTTAATACATATGTTTTCATAGAATCGTTTAGGTTGGAAAAGACCTTTAAGGTCATCCAGTCCAACCATTAACCTACACTACCAAGTCCACACTAAACCAATCAAGGGTAGACTAGACTAAACCATGTTTTGTTTGTCAAAGTTCACCATATTTTCAGAGGAAGGAGTAAAAGAAGATTAGTGATTTCTGTCCTATTCCAAAGGTCCTGGTTGAAGTTGTAGGGTTTTGATTACTAATTTAGTTTGCAAAACCACATTTAATAAGCTGTTTCAGCTAATTTTAGCCCGCACGGTACACTGCTGAGAGATGCTAGGAATAGTATTAAATTGAGTCTTTTGGAAATGTGGGCCAAATATCCAGCATGTTTTACAGAGATCAATCTAACATTATTCTGTTCTGCCAAACAGAGGTATAGCTGGAGTGTGACACTTGGTAACTGGATAATTAGTGTAGTTTTCACTGGAACAAAACTATAATCATCAGTTATATTTCAGTGAAACTATAAGAATATACTTGTAAAGAAAGGGCTGTACATAAGGAGTCTTTTTAAAATCTAAAGATGGTAACAGTTGCTGTTCCACAACATACAAATTAGGAGAATAATCTTTAGCGATTTTCCTCAGCCTTATTGGGAGTGAAGAGGCACATTTCAATGGAAGTTATGACACAGTAGCACGCTTCCAGTATTGTTTGTCAAAAGTAGTTTTTGAAATACTATTTCATCTAAGCCTAAGTTCTGCAAGTACAGCTGGCTTAGTAGTGCTTGGTAATGCTTTTGTAGCACGTGGATGTTTGTATGTGTCTTCTGCAAAGGAGAAATCAATCGAGAAATGTGCTGAATTTCAGGCACTATGATAATATAGAGGCCTTCATGACTTTGCACAGAAGTTGTGCGTAATGGCCAAACTTCATTAAGAAGTAACAGAGCCTTAAACAGCATCACTGATATTTGCCTCTAATGTATTTTGATAACAATACTACTTTGGTAAGAGTTACTTATGTGTGCTTTTGGGAGTGTGTTTTAGTGTTTTTGCAGCATCTGGCTATTTACGCTTTCTTCTCAGCACCTTCTAATGGGCAATCCTTGTTTTATTAGACTTGGAGAATTAAAGATCTTAATGGTGTGATAATCCAAATCAGGCTTGAAGGCTATTTCTAAACAAGGGCTTTGTATCTTCACAGGGTCACCAAATTAAGCTAAATACTTGTATCTTCTGTGCGGTAGTTTGGCCAATATTTCTGGCTTTGACAGTCTGTTATAAGCTTCTAAGGGACAAAATACCCTGAATATGGATAGTGGAAAGATGGTCTTTCAGGCACATAGTTTTGAGGAGTCTTTCTTACAGCTCTCATTAGTGGTTCAGTTCTTCAGTGTTAAAGCAGCATAGTTTTCCAGTGTGGGTTGTTTGTGTGGTGTTGTTATTTATATGGTGATGCATGTTTTGCCTCTCAGAGCTTGTTCGGTGCTACTCCAAGCAGTCGCACGCACAGGTTTTCAGAAGGAGTTGTCCCTACACAAGAATGATTTCATGGTGAAGGCCTGCCCTGTCTTTTCCAGAGTGCTCTGAAGGTTACACCTTATGGGAGCGTGCTTGTGCTAACGCTACTCTTCCTAGGTCTCCAAAGCATTGAATAATTTGGGTGGTCACCTAGCCTTGTTACGTTGCTCACTACATTGCAGGCTTGTGTCGCCAGCGTCCTGCATGTTCCGGGGTGATTCTAGCCAGGGTTATAAAGGAGGAATATGAGAGTGAATTGATGTGTTGATACTAAGCTTTGAGAGAACAGTAAATAATTCATAGTACTGACTTTTTAAAAAAGTTTTATGTTGACACTGCCACAAATTCAGTTTACTCAGAGTTATGCTTTAATTGCTTACTAGTCAAGCCCATGAAGCAGTCATATGTTTTGTTTCATCCTTTAAAAATAAGTTTGACTTGTCGACTATGTGGCTATTCCTTGAGGCTCAATAATAGGGAGAGTTATTACTAGTCAAGCCTTCTTGACAATTGCAAATGCAGCTGAAGGAGTTCATTTTATGTGCAAAATCAATTCTGCAAGGATCTTCTTTCTGTATTCTCTGACCCATTCGATAGTAAATAATTTCCTTTGTGCCATTAATGATGATTAAACTGTAGAAAGCCTAAACATTTTCTGTTGTTCATGTAAGTTGTAATATTAGCTCTACAATTGTTTTATGACTTAAAGCAAACTTTTATTAATACAAATTGCATTATATTTTATTCATGAGGGGGTTTCACTGTGTTTACACTAATATACAAACATTTCTGCAGTAATGCTATGCTGCCTTTTGGTAATTTCAGTTGTAGCCACGTAGTGAACTTAGGTTGTAAAATTATTGGTGGTATTGGATCTCCTTTTTTGAGGATAGTTGTTTTAATTTTTGATTTCTTGAAATCAGAAGATTCGGCTTAGTGTGGCAGTTCAGACCTGCAGACCCATATCAGAGCTGTGTTATACTCGGCACTGCACAAAGGAGGATTGCTCCAGAGAAATCTGAAATGGGACAAAAGCGGGGGAAGGAGAGAAGAGGCTGCTGAATCATTGGCTAGGAGTTGCCTTTACCAGCAGTGTCCTTAAATAATTGAGAAAATGACTTAATATTATGTTAGCTGTTGCCTGACTTGTTTGAACAGGAGTTTGCACGGGGCAGCGGCTTGTCTCCACAGTTCCCGCCCCGTGTGGTCAGCTGCAATGGGCGCAGGGGTGGACGACATCTCCCACCTGCTGAGAGTGTAGCAGCATTCAGCGTGAGCTTCCCTGCGATGTCCGATCCCCAGAAATCATGTAATTTCTGAAGATGCATTTAGGTTTTTTTAAATACTTTTCTTGTAGTACCATTTAGTACTTAGTGTCTGATACAAATACTCTTCCTGTGTGATTGATCAGGTAATCTTTTATATAGAGATTATAGTTTTATGTTGAGCATGTAAAATGCTCCTTTTATTGTTAAAATAACACTAGTAGTCTTGATTAAACCTGTGTACTGGGTGCAGGGG